AACTCCTAAAGACATGGCTAGGAAAAGCCAAGTATTTTTGCATACGTTATAACTCGAAAACGAAGCAAAACCCAGCGACAAAAATACAGGGCCGCGTTTTTCTATTACATTGAAGACCACATGCAAAAATTCAAGAGAAATAAAGTGTGCAAAAAATCTCAGTTTTCTGAGCGGCCTCTTTTGGAGTGAATCCTTTGAAGGTGGATTTCGACGCAATGTGAACTTAAATGGTTACTTTTCGCAGCTTCGACAGCACAGTTTTCTTTAAACAGGTGTTTTTATTTTTGAAAGAAGCAGAGAAATAGACCGGAAAAAAAATTCAACTGACCTCGTATCGAACTGGTGTCACGACAAAACAAACTTGAATCCAGCCCGTTCAGCACCTTAGTCACTTGTGCTAGCGAAGCAACAGCAAGAGAATAGCGTAATTATATGAATAATAAAACTTGTATTGGTTCGAACAACTAGCGGCAAATGTCAAGCTTCGGTGACTTCATCGTTTAGCAAAACAAAAGGGTTCTTTTGTTTTTCCTTCGACAAAAGATCTTTAAAAAGATACCCTTAGTTTTTTGCATACGTTATTTCTCGAAATCGAAGCGCAAATCAACAAAAACCATTACACAACGATGCTTTTCACGTCAAAACAAGTCAGTCCGCCAAAAATTAGCTCGATCCTGCAAAAATAAAAATCCACCCAAAATGCTATATACGCCCTTTTTGCATGAAAGCCTTCCAATATCTGCTGAGAAATCAAAGAGGAACGGTTTTGTTTTATTCAAAACGCGAATGTTCATTTCACTGACAAATAACGTGTATCGTTCACCTAACATATAGTCAACTTTGATGCTAACTAATCTGAGCATGCGTTTTGAGCAAACTGCTTTTGTTCTTACCACAAGGATAGCAAGAGATTTACAAAAACATATATAAAAATATATATTTTTGTCATGGTATAAAAAAAGCAATGTGAGTATGACATGTTTTGCGAAGTGCACACGGGTGCCTACCCTACCCAGCCCCCCTTCCTGCAAGGCTAAATTAATTCAATAATCAAACAATCATTTAAGTTTACACCTTATTGTGTTAGTGGCTTGGCAAACGGCTCCCCAAACCACCTCAATAGTGCACTCCGCACTAAAAAGGCAAAATAAGGAACAAATGTACTAATTTTCAAAAAAGCAGAAATTATTTTTCATGTCATATGCACTTTAAAAGAATAGACTATTGGTTTAGCAATGGCTTGGAGTTGTTGTTAGTGTTTTCAGTGTGCCTTCAGTGTGACATAATTCTAAATATCATTCATTGAAAAAATGAACAAGGTAACCCAATGCTAACCTGATTATAGTTTTGCTTCAGTCATTGATGACTCTGTTCCATATGTGGTTTCTGGTTTGTTTTGGGCAATTAAGGTGGTCAGAGTCCCACCAAAAAGCCATACTAAATATTGTATTGTTATAATAATACGCCAGAAATAAATATTGTAAACAATTTTGTATACCCCAATCAATTTTGTATAATAATTATACACACAAAAGCCCCAAGCTCTATCCCCTAACAACCCACCTGTGATAAAAGAGGCAGAATTGTTACACCTGAATGACCACCTATTACAGGAACATTGACGTCCTCCACATTCAGACCCTGCCACAAAAATACTCTTATTTCAAACATAGTTTACACAGAAAAGTGAGAGACAGCATTATGGCAATTTCTTTGCCAAACTGAACATATTTTTTACAAATAAAGAACCAAACAACATAACAGACAGAGTACATTCCCTTGAGTGTTGAAAGTCATCTTGCTTTTGCTTTGGTTTTGCGTAAGTACACTTAGTAATCTGTAACCATTTCCCATCCAATCAGAAGTTAAACCAAGAACAGTCGCACACTTTTTTTCACTGCATAATGCCAGCTACACCTACTTGCTTCCAGCCCTATCAGTTCACTAGATTGTCTGTGTTCTTCGTGATTGCACAGAGTGATGACTTCAGTCTTGGTTTATGAACACTCAATAGACCATATTCATATTCCTGGTATTGGACTGGAATTAGCTTGCAATGAATGCTTATGTGGGGAATATCATTAAAAAGAGATAAATGTCATTTAAATTTGAAAAGACTCCATGCATTAGCCTCAGTTGTGAGCCAGTTGCAGTCCAATGTCATGAATACAATTACAGTCTACTGGAAACCACACTATTACCAGAAGAGATAACTTAATAGGATCCACCATCAACTTATAAGCTGAATTAATTTAATCTTGCTTGAAACTACTGGGCCTCGAGGTGTTAGCAGGGTTGTCACTAAGGACTGTAACCCGCAACACCTGTTATGGCTGAGTATGCTTGATTTTCCCTTGATGCCACAGATAAAATTACCTTTTGTTGGTAGAATTCACCCACAAAGTAACAAGTTTGCTACGGGTGTGGAGAACTAGGCTACAGGTGACTCAAAACTTAATGAAAGCCCCAGTTATGACAGTGAAGAACTAGAAACTAAATGAAGGCTTTTGTGCAAAAAGGGTGTATATAGCATTTTGGGCTGATTTTTATTTTTTGCAGGATCAAGCTAATTTTTAGCAGACTGACTTGCTTTAACATGAAAAGCATCGTTGCATAATTGTTTTTGTTGATTTGCACTTCGCTTTTGAGAAATAACATATGCAAAAAAATCTCATTTTTCCAAGCGGCATCTTTTGGAGCGAATCCTTCGAAGGTGGATCTTGATGTGGTGAGAACTTAAACGGGTACTTTTAGCAGCTTCCACAGCACGGTTTTTTTAAATAGACATTTTCATTTTTGGAAGAAGTAGAGAAATAGACCGGAAAAAAAAAATCGACCGACATCGTATCGAACTGGTGTCATGACAAAACAAACTCGAATCCAGCCCATTCAGCACCTTATTCACTTGCGCTAACGAAGCAACAGTAAGAGAATTGTGTAATTATATGAATGATAAAACTAGCGGCAAATACCACGCTTCGGTGACATCATCATTTAGCAAAACAAAGGTTTCTTTTGTTTTTCGCTCAACAAAAGATCTCCAAAAGATACCCTTGGAAAACTGAGTTTTTTGCATACGTTATTTCTCGAAAACGAAGCGCAAATCTACAAAAGCAATTACACAATGATGCTTTTCATCTCAAAACAAGTCAGTCTGCCGATCCTGCTAAAAATAAAAATCGGCCCAAAATGCTATATACACCCTTTTTGCATGAAAGCCTTCAAATATGTAGACCACCTGAGAGATATATTTTCCAACACTTCTTTTTCCCTGAATCCACTTTTTCACCAGTTTCAGGAAACATCAATCGAGTAATGCAGTCAAAGGAATAAAAGAGAACTAAGAAAGGGGAAGTGCCTCAAGTTCACTTTCTTGAGATGGTGTTCAAAAGGAACTTGAGTTGTTAAACAGGGGGGGGGAGAGGGGGGAATTAGTGTACATGAACAAAATGAGAAAGGGCTGTTAGTCCTGGGGGGAGACTACCATATAAAAAGAATGGGGTGCTCATAGAGGTACTAAGATCCTCTTTTAAGAGTTTGAATACAAATTTCCTTCTAAGAGGTACCAATTCTAAAGCAATACATTAACTGACACTGACTTTTTTTGGCTCAATAGCCTGAAAGGTACTGCAAAAGCTCCTGCTGCGAGATCTTTTGAGGTGGAACACCCGTAAGAGGTACCAAAATCTGCCTTTTTACCCCTCAGAGATATAACAAGAAGCCTCATCCTTTCTATAT